TAATTCTAGAATCTAATGCTCTTTTAGAAGGTCCTAGTCTAAAAAAGTATTTAAAAAGTTTAGTCTAAAAAAGTATTCTAAAAAAGTATTCTAAAAAAGTATTTTAACTAACTTTAAGTAAGGTCTAAAAAAGTATTTAGTCTATTTTTACTAATAGCTTATAAATACTATATCTTAAAGTATATATATAAGAATAAGGCTATTAGAAATAGAGTCTAGTATCTAAATTAAAATAAAATATAGGTTAAAGTTTTTTTAAAATACTTTTTTAGAATATATTTTCTTTTTAACTTTTAGTAGTATCTAAAAAAGTACTTAGTTTATATACTAATTAAGGTAGATCTTACTAAGTAATCTAGTTTATATAAAATAAGAAAGATATAAGGTTAGATAACTAAAGTACTATAGCTATAGTAAAAAAAGATAGGCTAATTATAATACTAAGAAGGGTAGGGTTACCCCTTTAACTAGGAAACTTAGATATTTATTATAGGGTTATAGCTTCTAAAATCTTAGCTTAAAGATTTTAATATTAAGTATATAGTTATCTAACTACTAATCTAGTTAAACTAGCTTTAGTTAATCCTTATACTTATATTCTTTTCTAGGTCTACCTCTAGTTTTAACCTTTTTAGGTCTACCTCTAGTTCTTTTCTTAGATATATTATCTTTAACCTTAGGACTAGAAGCTTTACTACTAGACTTAGAACTAGAAGCTTTACTACTAGGCTTAGAACTAGTAGGATTATTTTCTATTACTTTATAGATATTATCCTCTAAAGTAGGTATTTCTATATTATATATATCTTCTAAAGATAAAGATGTTTTATTTCTATTAGAATCTATACTATTAAGACTAGCACTTTTAAAGCTAGGCTTAGAAGTATTATCCTTAGTTATTTTACTAATAGTAGTACTTTCTAAAGAGTTATTAGAGCTTAAAGCTATATTATCTCTTATATTAGAAGATAAAGTATTAAAATAGGGCTCTAGATTAACTCTAGGACTTATAGTAGTTTCTTTTTCTAACCTTTTAAGATTTAACTTAGTTAAACTAGTACTAGGACTATTTATATTAAATACCTTAGATCTAGGCTTAGAAAATACATCTTTAGGATTTAATAGTCTAGTAGAAGGACTTTCTATACTAGAATTATAAGGGCTAGAACTACTAGTACTAGAGATACTAATAGGCTCTAAATCTAAGATACTATTATTACTACTAGGCCTAGAGTTTAAAATAGGACTAGAAAGTACTATAGAACTATTATATATAGTAGATAAGTCCTTAGTAGAACTAGATTCTATACTAGTCTTAGAAACTAATTCTTTAGAAGCTTTTAGACTAGAACTAGAATTATAAGAACTTATAGACTCTAGCTCTAAGTTTAGTTCTTTATCTTTAATACTAAGTTCTTCTAATATACTACTAATATCTCTATCTTTAGTTAAGTTAAAGAAAGTATAGTATAAACTAGTAAAATCCATAGATCTAGTATAAATAGATCTAGTCTTATTAGAAAATAAGTTAGAGTCTCTACTATAATTAGCTTCTACTATTCTAGTAGAATGATTAGCTAAGATATCTTCTATATTACTTTTTTCTTTATAGTTATCTATAGCTAGAGGTCTTTTATTAGGACTTAGTAAATAGGTCTTATCCTTAATAATTAGTTCTTTAATTATATAGATAATTAGATGCCTATATAACTTTAGGCCTATACCTTTAGAAAAGTATAGTTTAGTCTCTTTATAAAGTATATTACTTAAAGTACTACTAGTAATCCTTTTATTCTTAATAGTAAATAAAAAAGGACTTATAATATCTTTATTATCTAATACCTTTATATTAAGATAGTTATATATAGGTAAATAGTATACTAAATAGTATAAGACTACTCTAGTAAGTCTAATAGGAAGAAATCTTATATTACTAGGATTTAAGGTAGTAGCATTACTAGTTTTAGAATAAATAGTACTAATACTAAAAAGTCCTAAGCCTTTATCTAAGTAGATATTTCTTAAGCCTCCTTCTTTAGTATTACTATATCTTATAATAGTAAGTTCTTCTCCTCTTAAAGGACTACTAGTTAATAGATAAAAAGCTAGTAAAAGATACTTAATAAATAAGTCTCTAGTCTTTAGATAAGCTTTAACTTCTACTAGATTAAAGGTTTCTTTATCTATTCTAAGTCTTTTATAAAGACTACTATAAGGATTAAATAGTCTTTTTAAAAGAAGATTTCTACTAGTAAGATCTCTAAGATAAGGATCTATAGTAGTAATATTTTCTAAAGGTAAAGAATTTTCCTTAGTATCTTCTATCCTATTAATATTAAGATCTAGTATTTTATCTTCTTTAATAAGGGAATTAAAGAAGAATAGCTTAGTATAAAGAATATCTTCTACTTTAAATAATAGATTACTAAATAGATCTTTTAAAGTATCTATATTAATAGAAATATCTTCTAGTTTAAGATTATTACTATTTATCTTAGTTATAGGCTTATAGCTACTTATTTGTCTATAGTTATATCTTCTAATAGAGTTTCTTAATATATATAATATATTAAAGTAGCTACTAGAATCTATAACTAGTAACCTTTTATAATCTTCTATAAATCTTAAGGAAAAGTTATCTATAGACTTTTCCTTATAAA